TATTGTTGTCTAAATAAAATTGTAAATATTTGAAGAAACTCTAAACATCAGAAAAGAGAGAATTTTTATTTTTTGCTAAATGCACTCATAAGATAAATACATTTACAATACATAGCAGTGTGCAACAATCTTTTCTTGCAAAAAGAATATAGCTGAAGAGCAAAAGAGTAAAAAGCATGTTTGTCATTTAGTTCTGCAGGTGCTTTTGACCTGGACACCTTCAGCTTTTTAAAAGCAGGTGTCTTTTTTTATGAATTTGTTCTATATTTGTATTGAATTGATGTCCATGTTTTCTATTAATGTCTAGTAATTGTAACAACAGCAAGCTTTGGCTAAATGCAATTGTGTTGGTACATTCAACACTTTTAAGTGCAGAGCAACTAAAAGCTGTAATAAGATGTGAGGCAGTGGGTGTAGTCACTGACTTAAACAGTCCCTCCCTGTTTTCCTGGCTCTTCCCTCAAATAATCATAGTCTGCTGTTAGAAAACAAGAGCAAATGTTTAAATTGCATTATAATTTTTAATGTAATTTTTTGTTATGAAAACTAGACATAATCAGTGTGAGGTAAAGCAGGTCACAGTAACCTACCAGACAGGTCTCGCACATCTTCACTGACATTCTTTACATTATCATACTCCTCCAGATCTTCCTCTGATAAAAAAAAAAAATGCCAGTCATTAATTACACGAACAAAATCTCACACTGCACTTCAAAATACACTAATATATCACAATATAAAAACTAAGTCTATATAATTTATATAACACTATAATGAACTATAGTAAAAGAAAAGAAAAACACTGTACCAGACTATTTAAAAAAGTAAAATATGAAACACACCTGCTTTATTATTGGAGAGCTGTCTTATGATGACAACATCATAGCTTTCTGATATGTCACCTGCAACAAAAATAAATAAAATGTGACAATCAAAAGACACATAACTTAAATTATAATAGAAATAAAATGCGCATAAAATTCTACATGTATATTCAAATAATAAAAGAAATAAACCTCTAGTATGATGTGTCAGTCCGACAGTGATTACATCATCATAATTCTCTGGTGTGACTTGTTGCTCTTTAAATGAGTTAAAAGCAAAAACAAGAAAGGGTGTGAAAAAAACTTGATTTTACTGTTCACAGGCTCAGTAGTTTAATAAACTAAGTGAAATCCTGTGATCAAGTTACAGATTCACTGACCTGTTGGACCTGTGCTGACATCATCATAGTAAGGTGTGCCTCCTACCGCAGATTCTGAGGAATTTAAATAAAAATGTACCTTTAAAATAACAATGGACTCCATTTTCTTTCAGTGCTAAATTTAAAGATAGTGTCACGGGGGGAGCACACGACAGACACAGGGGGTGTGGCGTCAGGCCTCGGAGAGGCTTTTATTCACAAATAAAAATAAAACAATATCGTGTCCAAAATAAACAGGGAATCTGGTGTCCTCGTCGTGCTGCGGGCTTCGTGCAGGGAAGGGCAGTGCTCAGGAAGGAGGGGTCCAGGTAAGGGGCGGAGTCCGGCGGCCGCACGTGCTCCCCTCTCCCGTCCGCGACGCGAGGGGCGGCGGCTTTGTTCAGCGGCTGCATCCTTCTCGCCTTGGCCCCCGCATGGGGAGGGGCTAGACGGCCCGGCATCCTGGCCCGACGGCCGTGTAACAGGTGCGGCCCTCGTCCGGACCGCGGGTCCGGTAGCTCGCATCGTCGGCGGCACGGAGATCCCTCTATGCACCCCTCCTGGACCCACAAGGACACCAGCGTGCATGCACGGGGAAGAGACTGGTCTCCCGAGGAGAGGCGCGCCTGGCATTTAAACAGCGGCGGTGATGAGGCTCCATTTGGTTCAGGTGTGCCCCATCACACGCCGCCAGCCCGGCTGTTTCAGCGACCCTCCTCTCTCACACACCCACTCCCGTCGGGAGCCTGGCGAAGGGCGGCGATTATGGGACGGGGTGATGATGATAATTAGGGGGAGGCAGCCGACTCGTCACAATAGTTATCCATCTTTTTCCTAGAAAGTTTATACTGCGTTTTAAATTATGGGATGCACTTCCAGTTTGGGGACGTTCTATACTAAAAGACTGAAACAAATCATTTCAAATTAAAAAGTTGTACTAAAAATGATCCTTATCCATCAGTTTCACTGAGTTGTAAGTTTTATTTAATGTTCAATTTTCAGATGTCTATAGAATAACATAACACTTGGTATTTTAACATGGGAGGGGAAAAAAACCATAAACTACTGCGCATTTGTGGTCTGACCTCCTGATTGCATTTACAATAGGCTATATACTATGAATAATTTACTGGAATGCACTAAGAATCTCTTGTTTTTCTCCCCAAATCCTAACGTCTCTTTCCAGGTTTGTTTTCACATGGATGCTTTAAAATGCAATCGTAATTGTCTCCCCTTTTCACTTCTAATCCTATCAGATATGTTTATTAAAATGTTTCTAAAGCAGTTAAATACAATATTTGTTATCTTTTAAAATGTCAGAAAACACTTGGAAATATTATCGCTCGCTAATATTAATGAACATTTTTAAGTCAAGGCCACGTATGTATTACTACAGTGACATTTAACACGAGCATGATTTTCTTGCAGAAATAATCTAGCTTTTGGGGTTATTCATGATATATTGAAAGTAATATGTTAATACTTTTACACTTTTAAATGTACTTTTAATTATTAATGGTTTAAGGGTGAGTAGACGTTACCTCATTGTAAAGGTTTCACTGATTGTTTACAGTGTAATCATGGTAAGTTACTCACATGATTCGTGCAAAGCTTCATGGGGTGCAGGAAAAAGGTGGATACTGTAGTTCCAGGCATGACTTAACTGCATTACCAAAGACTTTAGACATTCCAAGATGGTGCTCTCCTATTACTTATGGATGGGAGAAAGCGACTTGCCTCATAGTCTACTATGCTATCAATGGCTCAAGCCTCCGTTACAGCTCTAAAATTATGTTTTGGAATTAGCAATGGAGGAGTGGGGTAAGAAGTGTAAAAAATTAGTCCTACACACGAGCGTTTTAAGGACAAAAACCTGACGAATGTCTTGAAATACGTCATCTGAACAATGTATTGAGGTAACCGTAGTATATGTGGAATAATTGACTCTGGTCAGTTGAATTATTAGAAAATAATACAAATGTGAGGTGAAGGTTTTCAATTAATTTCACATTTCTGTATGTTACATTATTACATTTTATTCCTCTAACCTGAAAGAAACTCATCCACATCTTCGTACCCAGAGTGCTGTTCTTCAGAAAAGACACTTCCTGTTATTGGGAAGCAGAACCACAGAAATATGTTTACAATCACAAACCTCTGGAACATATAACACTATATTATTTCAAATGATATGCAAGGTCACATCTTTACAAAAACGAACCATGGTTATTGTTGTTAAACCATGGTAACCACAAATTAATCATGGATTTGCTCCAATAACCATATTCAACCATGGTATAGACGGTTTCATCAGGCGCACACGCCTGGCCCGAAGTTAACTTCCGGTCTGTGTTTGTTTATCAGTCTGGCTATGGCGCCGGCTACAGTTAAAGTTAAGGTGATGAGTAGACTGAAGTTGGGCTCAGGTGGTTGTGCTGTGGGATGTGTTTCCCATACATTAATTTATTTGTGGCGCTGGCCACAATATCAAAACTGACCGATTTTCCAAAAGGCTTCGTTGAATAAACATGAGCACGTACTGCATGTTTAAAAATCTAAACAAGGTGCGGGTGTTTTTATATCACTGTATTTCTGAAAGAAGACTATCTTTAGAACATTTTCGATGTCATTTTCATTTCATCTTGCATGTTATATGCCTGATAAAGCAGCGTTTGTGAGCTCAGTGCTGCTTTGTTTGTGTACAGCCGTTACTGGGGAAACCTCTTTCTCCCGCTTTAAATCATCTTCTGCTGGCAGAGAATGAATTTGCATTTTCAGCAAGTCCATCTGATTTACGCAGCAAGCATATTTTGCTTATCAAAAATAACCTACTCTAGAGGGACTACTTAGGTGCTGTTATTGATTCTATTTGGAAGTCTACCGGAAGTTAAGTTAGGGCCACAAAAGCGCGCATGAGCAGTGACTTTGTTTATGTTATTGCCGTTGAAACCGTCTATATGAAGTTAAACTGTGGTTATACAAATGGCAATCAATCTGCCAAAAAACACTACACTTTTACTATTATAAAACTATGGTTAACTGGTAAGGGCACAAATTAATCAATGTGATTTACTCCACTCACCACTTTGAATAAATTAATACTCTGTTGATCTCAACACATCAGACACTATGACAGTTACTCACCCCTCTGAGTGAAGTGATTGTGTTTGTGCTGAATCTCCTCATAAACAGCCTCAGTCGTCATCCTGTGTTTCCTCTTAGAGAGAGCTGTGAGTATAGACAGACAAACCTGCTGTCAGTTCACAACACATGACTGATCACACATTGAATAAGACACAATATGACAGTCTCTGGATCTCTCCTACCTCTCCTCATCATTCTGTTCTGCTGA